TAGGTGGAGGGGAGAGTGCAGTAGGGGAAGGGGTGGAATGATTAGTCTACTGCAGGTAATGCAGAGGGAGGGGGATTGGTGTTAAGGCTGTAGTTGAGATTGGAGCTATGGTTGAGATTGCCACTAAATCCAGACACCAAAGGAATTTGATGGAGGTAGAATGTAGAAGTGGAAGTGGTGAGTGGGGTGAAGAAGATATAGGGGAAGATGTAGGGACATATTGGAGGGGGAGGGGGCAGAGCGACATTACTGGAGTAGGAAGTACAAGAAACCTTGATGTGCTTCCTGTCTGGCTTCATGTAAAGCGAGACCATTTCTGTATCTAAGTGGCCATCTCAGACTCAAACTTGTGTGGGACAGCCTCTATAAATAGATTACTGGGGCCGCCACAGTTAACACATGTGAGTGTCTGTACAGGGCAGTTTGATCTGTTTTGACGGTTGGGTGCACAGGGGGCATCAGGCTGTGAAACAGCCGTTTGGTAGTATGTTCAAAGTGCCAAAAATTGATATTTATGGGGAGGATGGTATGGTTGAACAGCGAGTTATTGTTTAATATTGCTATTAAGGGATAGTCATGTGTGAAAGTAATTTTGGCAATGTTGGAGGGGTTTTGGTGATCGAGGAATGGAGTAGCAATATACCGATATCATGCCCTGGTCTGAGACAGCCGAACAAGTCTTCCCAGCAAACAAAGTCATTACCAAAGATTGGTCAGATTGTGGAGGAGATAGACTTCCAGCACAAGTATTAAGAGTTGGACTCATTGCCCCTAATACATCTTTAGTACTGGGCATGGGAAGCCTTGGCTATGTAAGGGAAATGAAGTTCCACCCCTAGTTACCTGTATGCAGGCAAGGTCTAGGTAACTAAATTAGTGGAGTACTGTGCCCATGGTTCCCGAAGCCGGTTCAGAACTGGCACAATGTCGGCTTTTCAGCACAACTTACACATTAGGAAGTAGGTAGAAGGGGGTTGGAGAAGGGATGGAAACAAAGCTGGAGGGGAAAAAAAAAAAGACCATGCAAAATTAGGAGATACAGCCCTCAATTCCAAGGTCCCCCCCACAACACCAATGAACAAGGGATTGGGGGTTTCCCCAGCAAGGTCAGCCAGGATATGGCTATGGCATGGGCTTGGGATGCATTCAACTGATAAGTTTATTGGTCAGGACAGATGAAGATTGTTGCAGAAAGGGGGGGGGATCTTTTCCACTTTAGGCATTTTTGGAAGTTATTAAAAATCCATATCTGCATAAACTTGCATTTACATTTGGCTGGGCCAAACTATTCGAGAGGCTTGTTAAAGATGGGCATTGTTGAAGGATGAGGTCTAGAGGAAGAGGGTGTGATGGAAAGATTGTGGTGCATTAGGCAATAAGGTGGAATTTACTAGAGGAAAGGGAGAGGTTTGAAAGTAGAAAGGAAAAGTTTGATATTTGGGTCAAGGGGTCAAGTTTATAGGCATTTAGGTGGGGTGTAGAATTGGTGGTTAGGAGACATGGTCAAAGGGAGTCAGGGTCTAATTATATGACTTGTACCTAGGGAGGTTATTTGATAATTGGGGAAAGGCTCAGTGCCCTTAGGAGGGGTACGAAGTCTTAACATACTTCAGCTTCCCATGGCCAGGAATTGACAATTTCAAAATAGTCCGTTCTCAGGGTCCCCATGAAGGATAAGGGCTACACAAATACCATGCCTCAAATATTTACCAATATCAATTTTGCAGGGAGTGGCTTACATTTTAAAAACAATGTAGTTTTGTAGAAGCCAGACCTTGCTTATCTGATGGAGTCAAGCTGCAAATCTTCCCCATTCATAGCAGGTACAACAAAAACTTAATATAAGAATTGCATTTAAGGATATTCTGGGATGACCAAATAAAAAAAGGTTAGACTTCTAGAGTAAGGCATAGTTTGTAACATGTAGGAAGTCGTTTCTCAAGGGTCTTAACATCCTTATAATCATTATATTAAGATTACTTATGACCAAGTTCCATGCTAGTCTTGCACTCAGTTTGAATAAACTAAAAGTACTCTTGTACCCAGTATGCAAGTTTTATCATTAGGTTATGAATGCATGGATTACAAGTTAAACCCACAACAGTAACTGTGTTAACATGGTAATTCCACATAAGGAAAAAATAAAAACAGTTTATTCTTAGATTATTAAAATTATAAATTACACTTGTACACCCTTCGTCTATTCTCTGTAGTGAATCCCTTTGTCAAGAACTGGAACTTCATAATTTGGCCGGTTCCTTGCAAGACACCAACAGGAAGTCTGTGAAGGATACCGTAATCATCTTTATGTCTATTGGCTTGCGGCATACTGGAAGCTGTTGATAGAGACGGAAGCCCTGTTGGGGGAAAACATTAATAGGTTATTGTATCTTTAGTGCACTTGTAAGTCTGATGTGTTTAACCTCAGACAAAAGCTTACTTCAGTTGGAGAGTGATCATACACATCCAGTGTCTGCGAGGTCGGAGAGCAACAGCAAGTACAAGTCAAACCCAATGTATACCGATTCTTGAGCAACAACACCATATGATGGCAGCCTCTGGTATGGCTGATATCCAGATGGACCATGCTTGAACACCTGTAAAAAATTGGTAATCCAAATTTAAGCAAAATGGTCTTGTTTCTGGACAGAATAAAGAACAAAAACTTGAAATACAGTTCCCATACCATGACCTCGTTGTAGGCTTCAGACCGTCTTCACATAAGATGTTGAAACTGCAGTTGTGCTAGAGAGAAGTATCGCTCTTGAGAGAACTCTTTGCATTTAGGAAGATTCCTGATGTTACCCATTGGCCAATGTGCTCTTTACAAGGTGAACTGCAAGTAAACATTTACATTATTTTTAGGGTAAATTTAGCGAGGGCTTACCTTTTCATCCAAGCAAGGAAATTTTTACCTTTTCCTCTGTGGGTGACCACCAAGTACAACTGTGATGTACAGTGAAGGGATCTACGGAGTCATTTGAGGCCATATGATTTGCAACCAACAGCAGCCATCCTCAGGACTCTGGAACAACAAACAATATTAAAACTTAAATCTAAAATGGGCAGTAATTTTTTAAAATTAAATACTGAATCGATTACCAAGGTTAGATCCACTGTAGAAGCACTATAATGTGTCTTCAATGACCAGATGACCACTGGATTCTGGTTAATTTTACTACACTTATAGTAGAGGTTGCACCAGGACTTCCTTCTGTAGTTGGAAATTACAAAAACCTTTAGGACTGTTAAGGCTTCTGTTAACCTCTTTCAATCTGATCAATTTTGGAAATTATAGGTGTAGGTCATGGTGCAAATGTGTACCTGCAATTGTGCCTGCCGCGTAACAATGTAAGTTACTCCCTTTACCGAAAATACTCCAATATCTGCTACAGTTCCCAAGTCACCAACTGTGTGGCTTTTATCTGCGAGCTGCAATGTTTTCACTTCAGTTGTTCCAGTGCAGCTAGAAGGGAGAAAATTCAGTTTAGACTTGCAAGTGTTCATTAGAGTATATACAGCATGTATTAATATGTGCAACTTACTGGTTCACAAGTCCTGTCCCTTCATAACCATCTGAATCAAAGATGAATGCAGAGTCTGTATCATTGAAGTCTTTCCACAACATACCATCATTAGATACCTGAAAAAAAGCAAGTTTATAGTAAAGGGGTAAAAGTGGCTTCAACGGTTCTTTGTGAGATGGTATTCTAATCTTAAGAATCAAGTTTCTTCTGGAAAGGGTAAACCTAGCAAATGTAATGTCAAGAGCAAAGTTCGTTTTTAAAATGTTTACAGAATTAGCATGCAAGGCTTAGAATTTTAGTCTATGCATTTAAAATGCTATTTAGGCTTTAGTTGGGCTTCAACCCATTAACTTACATGGTAAAAAGAGTAGCGATTAGGGCATGTGCAAAAGACTTCACACTCCCTTACTGCCAAGAAAGGTATCCCACCATAGCTTCCATAACTCATTTTACCCGTTATTGCTACGGTTTCAATATTAAGCAGTTCGCCATACCTCATGGTTTTCATACATGCCTAAAAAGAAATGTAGGTTTTAAGGTCAATGACCTTAAATTTATTGTATAGTCAAATATACGACTATACTAATTCACATACCACAAGCAAGAGCCTTTGTATCGATGAAAACATCAGAGAGTGTGCTATTGAGATTGTAGAGTCTAGTACTGGTGTCCAAAATATTTTTGCTCAAGACGGATGGGGAATAGTTTATATCCTCTAATTTATAGCCGTTTACTTTCCCTGTGACATCAATTGAAGTTTTAGCTGCCACAGCCGCCTCAAAGATCTGCAAGAAGAGGGGTAGTCATCAAAGAGGCGACAGTTACCCATGACAGGTACCCGAAACTAACAAAGTTTATACCAACCAGATTATGTTTTATCTTGTCCGCTCTATCCTTTCGAACGACATTCAGGTTTAATGCTGGAATATCCACATCATTGATTTGAGTAGCTTGGATTTCCCCTTCTACTTTCAAGCCTCCAGCAAAAGTTTTGGGTCCTGTAATATCCTGCTGTATTCTTCCAGACTTTAGTACAATATCTTGTAGTTTTAATTCCATTGATTTCTTCAACCTCCAGATCACCTAAGGATTGTAGACTATTTTAGTGCTGGATGTGGTTACAGTTTAATAGCTAGGTGGTCCTAATAAATGGAGTACTCTGCAGGGACTTTCATTGCAGATTTCCATATCTAGAATAAGATTTGTATCAGAAGGGGACAAGTACTCATTTTAAACTGCTAAATTACAATTTTACTTCCCCAAAGACAAACTAATTAGCGACTCTTGCCTAAACCCAGTCCTAGTGGATATTAGGAAGAATAAGGGCACTTGTGCAAGCTCAAAAGTTGAAGCATTCACAGTTTAGGATAAAAACTATTGCCTCCAGACCTTCCACTTTTATTCCCTCGAAGCTTGTAGAAGATGTTAAGGATTCTGTAGTGTCAAGCCTGATTCTATCAATTAGAAGTTGTTCCAGGTCAACGTTATCTATCAGTCCTCCAACCTGATGGATAGTTCAGCATTAGATGCAGCCAATAAAAAAGTAAATAAAAATAAAAGAGTTTAAAATACTTGCCTCTAGGTCTCCTTTGGCAGTTATGGGGGCTGTGAAGAGCAAGTTGTCTGCAAGTCTGCCACTTGCAGACACTACCACCAAGTCACTTACTGGTATGCCACCTAGGGATCCTGTAGGCCAAGGAGTTCATTACAATTCAAGTTCAGGGTTTTAGCAACCTGAGAGAAAGGTCAAGGTAAAATTACCCACCAGTAACTTTCAGTCCATCAGCAGTCAAGCCATTAGTGAAAGTCTTTATTCCAGTCATGATGTAAGATCCTCCCAGAGTAAGTACTGCATTAGCATTAATATCCGACACATTAAGAGAGTTTATTAGTGTGCCTTCAGGACCCACACCAAAAACAGTATCCACAGATAGGGTTTTGATCTTCAAGTCTTTGGTGAAGGCGACATTACAGTTTATGACCTGAAATAATAAATATGGTTATTACACCATACACGAGGGGGATTGGTAAAATTTAGTGTCACTTTTGTAACTTACACTATCCTGGTTGTTCATAACTGTTACAGCATACAAGTTATCAATGTCGACTCCATCTGCAGTTTGTGCCAACAAACTCGTCATTGTAACATCAGTGATGAATTCTACTTTCCCTGCAATGGAAATTGCAATTTTAGTCTAGTGGGTTAGATTGGCTCAAGTTTAGGTGCTTACAAAGCAGGGGTTTATTAATGGGGGGTCTATGACCACTACAGGGGGGTCATGTAATTACAACAGGTTTGACATGATAAAGTAAAAATACATTAAGTCTCAGTGCCCAAGAGGTTGAGTTACGAATCTTCAGGGGATGGTCTAATACTAATTAGGGAGACCTTTAAGAACTTTGGGAAACTTGAGACAAGAGGTTTAGAATCCTTGATTTGAAGCTCCCATTGGGTAGCAAGAATAAAGTTTTTTAAAGTCTAGAAGTTCTTAGAAATCTGAATAAAGCCTTAACACATCCTATTAAAAATTTCAGATATAACTTTTATACAAGTTCTGCACAACCATGAAACCAGGGCAATCATGGTCTACATGAGCAAATATCTAAGGACTAAAGTAGGAAAACAGTCACTTACCCGAGATATCCTGATTTGAAGACTTCAAGACGAGAGTGTTTAAGAAATGAATCAGTTCCCTTGATCCTGCCTTACAACACCATTAACTGTAACATCCTTTCGAATGTTAACCGACTTCACGGTTACTGGGAAGGGCATTTCTATACTTCCATCACTTGATCTCCATATGCAGAAGCATTAAGCTGCAAGTGCAATAAGAGTACCATTTATTGTAGAAATTAGTTATGAAGCCTAGATGTTAACATTGACAACATAGCTTACCTGAACAAGGTCACAGCCTAGCTTACCTGAACAACGTCACAGCCATCTAGTACTCCTGTATCGGAAGTAACATCCTTCATTCTAAGTAATCAGCAAAGTCAACTGATCCACCTACTGATACACCCTGGTCCACCAATACAAGGTTTGCAGTGTTTACTCCATCAATTACTGGAGCATTTACATTCTCTGAAAATAGATTTACTTCATTAGTGGAGGCCTGTCCCTGCCGAGTGGCAATTTTATTAGTCAAGGGTTTTCTGGGAAGTTTAAAAAAGGATTATGGTCACAGGCTGGTGGGGGGGGATTGGTAATACAAAAAAGTTGAACATACTGGCCATGACATCGCCAGTGATAGTGTATTTGCTGCCAACATTCTGGTTTGTACTTTAGTCAGTATTCTGTCTGATAGTTGAGGTACATCAAAGCCATTTATTGTTGTTGGATTGAAGTTACCCGAAATGGATACCGGCTTTGTGAATGTTTTCTTTCCACCAATTACACCATTGTAATTTTGCGGTATAACCTGTAATATAAATTATAGGTTACGCTACCGGTCTTGTGTACATCCCCCCACCCCCCACCCCAACACTTTACACTTTCCTTGCTTAGTGGGTTGTCCAGTCCTTGCCATTAACTATAGTTAGAGATGGGCTCTGATCCAAGTGTACTCCCTTGTTCACTGTGATAGCACCAGTTATGGCCTGTGGTGTAGGCGAGATCTTTTTAAGACTTCTGTCCACGAGATCTACCACATCAACACCATCAACTGTTCCACTAACGGAGAGTTCGTTCACTGTAAAATACACCATTGTCATTTTTTTTTTTTTTTTAAGGAAAAGGGGAAAAAATAATAAACAATTATAAAGCATATCTACCGTTCACACTGGTGGTGAATTTGAGGGGTCCATTAACTGTTGCATCATCAGTCATGATGACCAAGTCATCAACTGCAGACTTCACATTCAATCCATTAAGGCTTTGGACATCTATATTTGCTCTGTTCATACTCAGGGATGCAGCAGTAGTTTTGTCCCCAAAGTTCAAGATACCTGAAGAGTAGTTTCAAGTAAGCAAACCAAGTAAAAAAAAAATGTAAATTAATTAGAGGATTAAAAGGTTTGTTACTCACCTGTGTGTGAGGCAGTGACAAGTCAAGCCTCATGAAGTCTTTATTCAAATCCCATCCATTCAGCTTGCCATCCAAGTCCAAGCTACCAGATGCACTAATTTTCCCTGCAAAGCTCTTAAGAAACAAGATTACACGATTCATACACTTCCCCATACCACTATGCACAATTTCATACAGGACTTACTGTTTGTGCAGTTATAGTTTGGTCATCAGTCAGGGTAACCAAGTTACTCTTTAGTGCAGAGACATCAACACCATCTACAGTCTTTCCATCCACCATGTCGAGATTACCAGCCAAATTAACCAAGCCCTGTAACAATGGTTACAGTTAATAAAATTTTTAATCTTCCAAAACTAATATTTTACAATTCAAGTTAGTAACCAAGTGGACTAACCTGGAAAGTGTAGGCCCCATCAATGGTTTGAGAACCTGTAACAGATAGGAAGTCCTCCATCTCTCCATTTACATCATTCGCCGTAACAGCCGCTCTGGAAGTATATATTATTAGTACGTTTAAAGAAGACGGTCTTTTATGCATGATCAAAATTAAACTATACTTACTGGAATGTAGTAGTATCTAAGGTAGGTGATACCAGTATTATCTGGTTTGTGCTTTTCCTCCAATATCTATCTTCAATACCACTCATATCCAGACCATTAATAACTCCTACAGTAACATCTTCCAGGACCTGAAAGAAATTATCATTATTATTTTAATTATTATTATTATTATTATTATTATTATCATCATCAAAAGCCTCTCCAAATACTTACATTTAGAGTATTAGTAAAGGTAACATTCGTCTTTATGACGAGGTTCCCTTGGTCAAAGGTTTCGAGGCTTTTTGGATGGATGCTGTTTATGGTAGCAGTGTTCGTCATTTGTACCCCCTGAGACCCACTAACCAAAACATCGTCAAGGAAAGTTAGTCGACCTAAAAAAATTAAAATAGAATAAAATAAAAGTACAAGTGCTACCCTTGATTGACAAGGTCAAAAATAATTATCCAAAACTTGCCATTGATAATTTGGTTCGTCATCAATGGTGGCCACATCAACGTTGATGTCGATGCCATTGATGTCATTACATGTTATAGTAGATATTACGTTAGCATCTGTAAATGTATAATCTCCTGGAATGTGAGGGGTCTGCAGATCGACAATGTTTTCCCTAGCAATTCCATTCAGTTTAGGGCTGGTCATACTACCAGACACTTCGAAGTCGTTCTGGTAGGTCACATCACCTGCAAGACAAAGTTATAATAAAAAAAAAAACAAACAAACCCAGAAACTAATCATTAGGGTTACAGACTCACCAGACTTACCAGATAATGTGAAGTCTCCAGAAGTCTTGACAACCATGGTATCAAGTTTTTCATGTCTACACCATTGATGTGCGTCACATCCACATTTCCATCCACATTTAAGTCATGCAGAGTAAAATGGCCATCCAAGACCTGGGGCTTAAATGTATTCATATACACCAAATCTTCAGCAAGGCTAGAGAGATCAATCTGGAAGGAGAATTATGATCATGCACAGCAGTGCACAGCCTTGTACACTTTTGCACTAGAACTGCTATCCTACTTACTCCATTAAGCAAGTCTAGGTTCAGGTCCTCTAGAATCTTTAAGTTCTGGAAAGATTTCTTGTCTAGGAATGTGGCGTTCTGACCTCTCATCACAATGTGGTTTGTGTTTATGCCATTAACAACTACATTCTTATTGGCAGTAGTCAATCCCTGGATGCCTTGTACACTTATGTCTCCAAAGTGCAAGTTCCCGGTTAAAGAAGCTAGACTCTTTCGCAATAGTTCTGGGGTAGGGAGGATTAAAGTGTTAATTGGGCAAACTAGTAATAACGAAAATTTTCCAAAAATTGGCACGAAACTTACGGTTTGTTTTTACTCCATTAATAGTTGCAGAAGATGCTCCGTCCCGGGTAGTGAAGACATCAGCCTTCATCGATGTACATTGAAGAACTCACATCTTGGTCAATACCATCAATCATGAACACTTTACTCAGGCTAAGAAGGGAGATTTAACTGGAATGGAAGTTATTATTATAGTAAAAAAGTTTTATCTGCCAAGGTAAAATTCTAACTCATTATACAACCTCTGTAAGCTTTGTCGAGCTGGATTCGAAGCTGTCCACAGTTAATGGACTTGCTACTATAGATCCCTTGATAGTTTGATCCTTCGAATGGTAGAGAATGTTGTCCATTCCAGAGTTTACAGTGTCCACACCATGCTGCAATAACACAAGAAATAAGTACAAGAATATTAAAGTATTTAAAACCAAGAATTAAAAAATTACTCACCTCTAGAGTTGCAGACTTAGATAGGAACAAGTTGTACGTTTCGTCATGTGCTTGCGCAGTACCATCACCTACTACATTCATTGTTTGTTGTACAGTTGCTGTACCATTTACCATCAGTTCAGTAAAGGTTAGTGGGCCATGCCACGTCTGGAAATCAGTTTCATATATTATAATGAGTTTTTACAAGAATCCTAAGATATTTTGTAATAAGAGAATTCTTTACCTGCGAGTTGTCAACCGTCATTAAGAGGTCGGTTGTAAGAACTTGACCCAAGTGATCAATAGTAGACTTCCTAGAATCTAGTTTAGTTTCAGACTATCAAGGCATTGCAGGAGAGTATCCGTTTCATCCGTAGGCTTTTCTGCAAGTGGGAATTTAAAACCATGAGTTGTTTAAAATTCTTTAAATTTAAGTTAAGCAAGATTAGTTTAAGGTTAACTTTAATACCATCTTACTAATAAACTTTTAAAATTGTACCCATATATATATTGGGTGTATCTAGTTTTTTTTATTTCGTAATACCAATAAAAAAGTAATTTAGATTTAGAGATCGAAATTCAAGATGCGCAGCTAAAATTTCTAGCAAATTGGATTGATATATACATTTTAAAAAATAAATCTTACCCAAATCTATGTAATCCATGATCACACGTCTGGTCTTCAGTTCAGTTTTACCATTGCTTTCCAGACAGACATATGTTACGACATAATCATTCATTATTTTCACCATAGCAAGGTCACCAATCTTGTTGCAGTTTGTATGCATGACAAAATTAGAATTGAAGTGTGCAGATACATCATCAGCATAGAACATGACTTTACTCTGTTGGAGATAAGATAACTTTAGCCAAATTAAGTTAATACATCAGCAGTGTAATTTGAAACTATTTGAAAAGTCAACTTACACCATAGGCAACCATAATGATGGATTCTAGCGATGAAAATGTGAAGGTCTGTATACTACCTACTGGGTCGACACCAGTGCCCTTATTTAGCTCTTGCCACAAGAGCAGCTGTTCGTCTGATTAAGACGGTAAAAATAAAGGTTAGAATTTATCAATGAACTTTTAGCATTTCAAAAAATGTTGCAGAATTATACTTTACGCACTTGACCATCTGTAGAGTTTGGGTTCTAAACCATTGTTCATAATTATGTAGTGTCTATTTTCTTGCTTTCATGAAAATAATGAACACTGTAAACATCAAGGTCTGTCAACTGCTGGACCAAAGTAAGAGTTCCCAGTTCGGCGTCGAATCTATACACTTGGGAACCCTCCTGTAGGAAGTTGGACACGTCATTAAAGAGAAATACATATGTAATTATATATACCCCATACATAAAAAAAATTTCTTACCGAATGAGTCATGGCAAAGACAAGGTAGTAGCGATTCTTATAAGCAAATCCTGTAATATCACTAACATTCTTCGTTTGGAGGGCAAGGCTGTCTTGCTGGTCGAAGTATTGGCCCACCAATTGGTAAATTCTGAGAATTTTTAAGAGTGGTTTAAGTACTTGTTCGAATAGAACAGTGAACAAGTATACTGCAAAAGCAATAATGCATATAGCAGTATTAGATTACCTAGAGTTTATCTCTTCGTCCTCTTGACAATTTATATCATTTGCCCCACTGCCAAGAACAAGTGGCCACCCGTTTTGAACATATGGAGTCCTCCTACCGATCCATCGGTTACAATCACCTGAAGATTTTTGGCAACTTCCGAGACTAGATCGACGACAGTTATCGAAACTAAGTGGTTATCGGACGCCATTGCTATCCAAAGGTTATTGTCGATAATATTGCCCTGCAGGAGTAATATGTAAAGTTATAGCTTAAATTTTACCGTTAGATAAAAAACCCTAGCCATATTTTAAAAGAAATTCCATACGATGGTTTGCCAATACAGGAACAAATACTTACTGCTACATGTTTTATTTCTGCAAGGTCATCAGTCAAGGTAAACCTTCCAATAAGCCTCAACCGATTAAGAGTTGGCGTTATCTCAATCACTGCATGGGATTTCTGGATGCTGAGTTGGAGAATCAAGTTAAAGTAATCACCAAGTGTGGTAATGTATATATCCATATATAATCATTTCTGTAAATATTCTACTCACCCATTGTACCCTAAAATCCAGTATTCCTTCATTGGTGTTGATAGGACACGCATATTTGTAACTCCTATAAAATCAGGCTTATCAAATACGAAGGATTTGCCATGGGCGGTACGAAGTCCTCCGTTGCATTAACCCTCACAGATACGAGATCCAAGGCTGTAGAAAGAAAAAAAATAAAAATCTACCAAATTATATATACATAAATTACAGGCAAAGCTAACCAGACAAATTACCCCTTTTGTAGCGTTTAGCTTCTACAGAAAAAGACTTGGCCATGTGGATCTGGGCTAGTTGGAGAAGGCTTTGGGTGTAATCATCTAGGTCACCAACAGATCTCATCTGCTTATCACCAATCGTTTCTACCTGCAAGGTAAATTTCATTTTTAGAAATCATGAATTAATAAAGTAATTATCTAATTAATAAAAATTAAAAAACTTACTAGTTCCATTACAGAGGGCATATCCGGCATCTGTGGAGCAACATATCCAAGCAGCGATAAGAACGCTGCCGTTAACAAGATCATCATGCCTGGACAACGGCCCCGTCTTGCCGTTGGTCTGTTGACATTTGTAAACAAAATTAAAATGCTTTTACTCAAGACCTTTAAATATCATCCAAGTTGACTCGATAATTTGCACTTTGAAACTATCAGAACGTATTCCCATTACCCAATTAATCTGGAATTCGGCAATATAATACGGAAACTTACTTATTTGATTCTTACAACCATAATTAACAGTTTATAATTGAAAATCAATTAATATATAATAAAGTTATAGTTTCATATATACTGACTATATTTATTCAAGCTATATATATATATATCTTTTTTTGAATCAAAGCAAATTAATCAGACCTCCGAATTCCTCCCGATATTAAGAGGATACTACTCAAACACGCCGAAGGGTGTTACACTGCTTACCCGTCG